AGCACTAGCAGTAGTAGCAGTAGTAGCAGTAGTAGTAGTAGTAGTAGTAGCAGCAGCAGCAGCAGTAGTAGGAGAAAGAGTAGTAGTAGGAGTAGGAGTAGGAGGAGTAGTAGCAGTAGCAGTAGTAGTAGTAGTAGTAGTAGTAGTAGGTAGGAGTGGTAGTAGGAGGCGGAGGAGGAGGAAGAGTAGCAGCAAAAAACGCAGCATCAGCATCAACACCGGGGCAGCAACGGGAGGAGCAGGAAGAACAGCAGTCGCAAGTAATCTGTATGTTTGTCGCCTTGCCAGGCTTGGGGGTACTCTTTTGCCAGTATATAAAGCTGGAGCCGTCATATCGGGAGAGGGGGTGGAGCTGCAGGGTACAACTATCGGCATGAGCACTTGCACTCGACATGACGACGATCGACGGAGACCGAGAAGAGGCGAAAGAGGGAATGAACAATGCATTGCGACATCTGTTGGGATTGTTGTTTTCCTTTCCTGCAAGCGGCACTCAATATTTGAGCTGTGTTGCTAGCTGTCTCAGGCGAGGAGCCGTAGCGGTAGACTCTGTCCGGGACTGCTGCTGGGCGACAAGTCGACTATCTGCAGAAGTGGCAGCGGCCCGTGCCGACACCTCAGTTGAAGGAAGTTTGCGTTTTTTTCCGCGACTTCTTCTGCTTTGCTGTGAACCCGCTTTTGCAGCTGGCCGTGCGGGGCTTCTCGGCTGACCTCGCTGTTGTTCGCACTGCGTGGGATATGCTTATACATACCTTATTCGGCAATGGCCGTGGTCTGGTCATAGCTCTAGCTGCCTTCCTTGTGCTTTGGGGCTTCTTGCCGGTACAGGGTCAGTGGCATCGATTGGATGATTCAGGTTTACACGTACCTATGTTGCACACCAAGCTGATCCATCTCACCTACTTGCAAGATAATGGGGGACAGAGGCACCCCTGCAAACGGCATCTTCCTGCAACGGCAATGGCAAAGAAGAGGGTTTCGGCTTTGGGTAGTAGAGTTTGGTAGAGGCCAGGGCGGGGAGGGCTGCAGGGGCCCGTGACGGATGGCTGCGGGGTACAGGACGGGAGCAGTCCGTGGAAGGGAGACGGGAAATGAAGGGACTCGGGGGGGTTGTTGGGTGGGGGCAAGGGGACAAGCGATAAGACTGGGGGAGTAGGGTTCCAAGCTTCCAAGCGCATGGCCAGGCGAAAGAGAGCACATGGGGCAAGCAAAGCAGGCAGGGTCCGAAGCAATCTGAAGAATAGTTTGAAAACTGCAGCTGTTCATCTTCAAGAATGAACTGCTGTCTTCAGCATACCGGCGGAAGACCAAGAGGTCGGGGGCATGAAAGAAACAAGTGCTCAATACAAGTGCTTATTTCATCGGAACTCTCTATGAGTCTATCAGTGCTTGGGGTAAGACATTTCACTTGCCAAGCTCTATTTGAGTGTCTTTCCGGACCGTGCCTTGCTGGCCACAGGCTTGGCAGGAGGCTTGGCGAGCGGCTTCGCCTTGCCGGGCTTGCCCCTCGTGGTCTCTGGCCTGGGTCCAGGATCCTCGCAAAAAAAACCCAGAAAAGGCCTCGATGTGCCAGGAAAGCAGAAAGCCTGCTAATGTGGGCTTGGCGGCTGAGATAACAAGGATAAGGATGATGACACGAATGCCATGTCCTCTTCATCCCCGCCACTTCTGCTGCTGCTGCTGCTGCTGGACTCGGCCAGGCGACTGTCCCCAGCCAGGTTGCTCGTGGTAAAGCCACTTGACGGGCCGCAGCTCGAGTGACCGTCATCGTCGTCTTCGTCCACAGTGCGGAAGTTCCTCATGCTCATGGAGAAAAGCTTGAAACGTCTCATCTCGGGAGTCTTCCGCTTCAGAGGTGTCTTCGGCCAGGTGCCTCCAGCAGTTTGCCCTTGGAAATAGGACTGCACCATATCGGTGAATTCCTCTGGATTAAGACCTGCATCACAATCCAAATCGAAGGCCGCCACCATGCTGGATGCCTGAGTTCCCAGTCGTTCTTTATCTGCTTCCGCTAATCGCCATGAAGAGCCCCACTACACTCCACCCCTTCAGCCTGAGCTCTACTCGCAGCTCTACAACCCCGCATCCAGATGCAGTACTTCTGTCGAGTGGACAAACAGAGGAACCAAAAAGCTTTTGCCAGGATGTCTCTGCAACCTCCTCTGCCTCCAGTTCAGGAAACACTCGCAGAAGGTCTCTGGCGGTAATCTTGCCATCCATGTCCTTGGAGGCACTTGGTCCGGTTGCGGAAATGCGGAGCATATGTTTGTCCCCACGGCCGCTAAAGAGATGCTGGTGGTCGCGGTGATGGTGGTGGAGTGGTGTGGAAGTGGCGGTAGCTGTTGCTGTAAGTGTTCTGTACTGTAGCAGTCGTCGTCGTTTTTGGTCTCATGCTCATTTTGGGCTCCCGCATGGCAGTCTCGTGCTCATCCTCGTCACAGCTGCCCATAAGAACCCTGGGAGTATTGTCGACGAACAAACCATCGCTGACAAGGCAAAGAAGGGCAGTTGGTGGGTCGTAAGGCCAGTTCGGGAGATCAAAACGGAAGTTGAAGGCATTGCAGGCTGCAGCTCATGCTGGTACTAATCCTACTACTGCCAATACTACCACTACCACTACCACTGCTACTACTACTACTACTATTACTACTCCTGCTGCTACTACTACTACTACTACTACTGCTACTATTACTACTCCTGCTACTACT